TGCCTAGTGCCTACTGTACAAGCCTGTGGGGGCGGTGTTATGATCTGGGGTTGCTGCAGTTGGTCAGATCTAGGTTCAGCAACAGTATGTACTCAAAGAATGAGGTCAGCTGACTACTTGAATATACTGAATGACCAGGTTATTCCATCAATGGACTTTTTCTTCCCTCATGGCACAGGCTTATTCCAAGATGACAATGCCAGGATTGATCGGGCTCAAATTTTGAAAGACTGGTTCAGGGGGCATGACACATCATTTTCAGACATGGATTGGCCACCACAGAGTCCAGACCTCAACCCCATTGAGAATCTTTGGGATGTGCTAGAGAGGGCTTTGCGCAGCGGTCAGACTCTACCATCATCAATGCAAGATCTTGGTGAAAAATTAATGCAACACTGGATGGAAATAAATCTTCTGACATTGCAAAAGCTTATCGAAACAATGCCACAGCGAATGCGTGCCGTAATCAAAGCTAAAGGCGTTTTTTTTTTTTTGGTTGCGACTTTCTTTTTGGCCAGACATTGTATATTAAAGAACATATACAGGTGCTGGTCATAAAATTAGAATATCATGAAAAAGTAGATTGATTTCAGTAATTCCATTTAAAAAGTGAAACTTGTATATTATATTCATACATTACATACAAACTCATATATTTCAGATGTTTATTTTGTTTAATTTTGATGATTACAAATGACAACAAATGAAAATCTCAAATTCATCATATCAGAAAATTAGAATATTACTGAAGACCAATAAAAACAAAGGATTTATAGAAATGTTGGCCAACTGAAAAGTATGAACATGAAAAGTATGAGCATGTACAGCACTCAGTATTTAATTGGGCCTCCTTTGGCCTGTATTACTGCAGCAATGCGGCGTGGCATGGAGTCGATCAGTCTGTGGCACTGCTCAGGTGTTATGATAGCCCAGGTTGCTCTAATAGTGGCTTTTAGCTCTTCTGAATTGTTGGGTCTGGTGTATTGCATCTTCTTCTTCACAATACCCCATAGATTTTCTATGGGGTTAAGGTCAGGAGAGTTTGCTGGCCAATTAAGAACAGGGATACCATGGTCCTTCAACCAGGTACTGGTAGCTTTGGCACTGTGTGCAGGTGCCAAGTCCTGTTGGAAAATGAAATCTGCATCTCCAAAAAGTTGGTCAGCTGCAGGAAGCATGAAGTGCTCTAAAACTTCCTGGTATGTGGCTGCGTTGACCCTGGACCTCAGAAAACACAATGGACCAACACCAGCAGATGACATGGCACCCCAAACCATCACTGACTGTGGAAACTTTACACTGGACTTCAAGCAACGTGGATGAAGTGCCTCTCTTCTTTTCCTCCAGACTCTGGGACCTTGATTTCCAAAGGAAATGCAAAATTTACTTTCATCAGAGAACATGACTTTGGACCACTCACCAGCAGTCCAGTCCTGTTTCTCTTTAGCCCAGGCAAGACGCTTCTGACGCTGTCTGTGGTTCAAGAGTGGCTTGACACAAGGAATGCGACAGCAGAAACCCATGTCTTTCATACGTCTGTGTGTGGTGGTTCTTGAAGCACTCACTCCAGCTGCAGTCCACTCTTTGTGAATCTCCCCCACATTTTTGAAGGGGTTTTGTTTCACAATCCTCTCCAGGGTGCGGTTATCTCTCTTGCTTGTACACTTTTTTCGACCACATCTTTTCCTTCCCTTCGCCTCTCTATTAATGTGCTTGGACACTGAGCTCTGTGAACAGCCAGCCTCTTTAGCGATGACCTTTTGTGTCTTGCCCTCCTTGTGCAAGGTGTCGATGGTCGTCTTTTGGACAACTGTCAAGTCAGCAGTCTTCCCCATGATTGTGTACCCTATAGAACTAGACTGAAAGAACATTTAAAGGCTTTTGCAGGTGGTTTGAGTTAATTAGCTGATTAGAGTGTGGCACCAGGGGCCATCAATTTTGAACCTTTTCACAATATTCTAATTTTCTGATATGATGAATTTGAGATTTTCATTTGTTGTCATTTGTAATCATCAAAATTAAACAAAATAAACATCTGAAATATATGAGTTTGTATGTAATGTATGAATATAATATACAAGTTTCACTTTTTAAATGGAATTACTGAAATCAATCTACTTTTTCATGATATTCTAATTTTATGACCAGCACCTGTATATGCACTAGTGAGCAATTGTGTGTTTCATGAAGCCCAAGATTTGTTTAATCAGAATCAGAATAAGACATACGTTAATAATCCCAGAGGGAAATTAGTGCCTATGGTGCAAAAAAATCAGACTTCAGCCTTTGAGTAGCCTTTATTGGAGGGTAAAAGTAGATTCAAGTTTAGCTGCACTAACGTAAAACAAGAGCTTTTACCTTAGTGCAGCTCTTAAAGTTAGTTCTTTCTTAAAGTAACTGATCAAAAGCTAGAAAAATATCCTGGTTATGCGCAATACTGTCAACACTCAGAACAGAGGACACAGTATATAATATAATATAATATAATATAATATAATATAATATAATATAATATAATATAATATAATATAATATAATATAATATAATATAATATAATAATTCAAAAGCCTTTATAAAAAAAAAAAAACGTTGTGACAGGAGTAGCAGCGGCTAGAGCATCTATTACAGGAAACTCTGGTTTAACAGTTCAGCCCGTGTCCTGTGAACGAGGTGGGATCCAGGCGGTGAGCTGCCAGTGAGATGCGGCGGGGACAGCCCAGAGTGTTCCAGATGCTGAAGCCCAAGAAAATGGAGAACAAGATAGGAACATGCAGGCTCAGAGGTCCAGGAGTCCAAAGACAGTTCAGGCAAACCGTTCGGATGGGAACAGGCAGGCTCAGTGGTTGAGAGGCAGAACAGGTCAGGACCAGGAAACCAGAAACACTAAGGGACGCTAAAAACCTTCTCACCACTGGCTAGAGAGAACGAGAATAATCTGGCCCTGATAAATTGATCCAATCACCTTAAATAGGGGCAGGAGCAGGTGGGTCAGATGAGAAATCGGTCAGAGTTATACAGGTTACGGAATTAACCATTAAGCTAGTCCTCAGTGGCAATATTATGACAAATACTCTGTTTGGCCAAAGACTGTTTTCTTGGCAAACAAGTACCTCAGTGGTGCTCAGTTGGGACATTCTGCTTGACTTCTTTGGTATCTTTACCCTGTTTTCTTCCAGCTACATCCATGCTGAAGTGTGATATAAATGTGATCTGTCTAAAGTTCTGGTCAGACGAACAATGTATGAAAGATTAGGGTGTCAGGATGGTAAACGCTTACTCTTCTCATCTAATCACAATCAAAATAGTTGTATCCGGATAACGCAAGTTTCTTTGTTTTTTTTTTCCATCCAAAGGTGACAAATTGTAATTATAATGATTAATTAGGATACTTTAAAAGAAAAAATGTAAAAAGTCGACATAAAAATAGTAACTCCAGTTAAGTTACAAACTATTTACTGTATACTTCTTTGCGTGACACCTCTGTTCAGACGTTAAAGCAACTCATTACAAATAAGTACTTCAGAAATTCAATTTTCTTTGCTACTGAAATGATAAAGTTGACCCCCTCTCTTTATGCCATCCTTAATTTTCTAGGTATTAACTTTAGCCTAGAGCCTAATTAAAGGTGACCCATCCTCGCCTTAGTGGTCGCAGTAGTTAGCCTCTGGTATAGACCTACTTTAAAAGAACTGACCACAGGGGATGGGAAAGGTCTGGGGGTTTGAGATGATGAAAAAAAAAAAAAGGTTCTGATATTTGATTATGTGTAGATTGTGATACAGAGCTATAATATATACACAGATTATTACACAATTCCCTCCATTAACTGTTTTGTCTTGGCAAAGATCTTGAGAAGAACTTGGAAAAGTTATCTTCTGTGAATCAGGCATAAGCCCATAGACATACTGAATGCCTCACAGCGCGGCTGGCATCATACTCAGCATGGCAACAGTTTCTGCTCTTCTCAGGGCAAATGCTTTTCCAGATGACCATGACAATCAAATCAGCTTCCTGTTGTTCTTCTTTGTATTTCCTGCAGAACACCAGTCTATCCTTTCTTTCTCTAGGACAAAAATGGCTTCTTCCCTGTCTGCTTGTTAACAGGCAATTATCTTACATTCTTCTTAATGCACACAGATTCGCTCTAACCCACCTGCTGCCTTTGCCAACAGACCCATAGCTGGAAAGAGAGAATCTAATCACATCTTGCCTGACTATTCAGACAACATGAGGCCTTTTTCCCCAAACAGTATTAAATGATACCTTTGGTGTTCTTTGGGATTAGGAAAACTCAATTTAGGTGTTATATTTGCAGCAGTTTATCTAAATGTGAGACTATTTGCATATAAAATATATTACAGAAAGTCAAGGAGTTTTAAACACTTGCGCCTGTTTGACCCTTTTTTATTGCAACAAGTATGATCATTTCATTACTTGAATTTATTTGATCCTATTTATATTGAATGTCATGTCTTTTTTAACTTTATGAACCAATGTTTCTATGAAGTAAAATCTGATTTTTTTTACAATAGGTTGCACAAAATCATTGCTTTTTCGCATTATGAAACAATTTTGATATACTTCTGATAAATCAATATCACTTAAAGTTGGCAAAGTTTTTAAGTTTACTTTTCACAACTTCACCTCTACCTAAAATAACTATACACATTTAATGTCAGATAAGATAGATAGATAGATAGATAGATAGATAGATAGATAGATAGATAGAAAATTTATTTTACAGATTGAGCAGATTAAGTCATGTTTTCCTTGATTAAAGTTACTAATACCTGAATGACATCTAAAATTATTAAAATACAACAAAAATAAGTAACATAATTAGGATTTTTATCACGTTACTGGTTTACATTCAGCTTTGCGACCTTTGTATAGATAGATGGATATATTTATTTTTTCCCATCCTCAGGTGGGCTCTTGAACTAACCACAATCGCTCTGTGCTCGTTCACGCAGCCCCTCTGCGCGTCCCAGTCATGTGACAACCCCTCAGCACGCCTGCGCACAGAAATAGAAGATGGCGGAGAGTGCGGACCTGAAGGTAAGCCGCAGTCTGAAATTACTATAAATTCAAGCCGGTCCTGCATTATTTCATCGTTTCTTTTCGCGGTTCTCGCGCGGATTAAGCGTCGGGGGCGCTGAGAGGTTGTCCGGTTAAAGGTTCCCCGCCGAAAGGCGGCAGGAACTTTTTTTTTGAATCCGCCAAAAAGCTCCCTGCGAACATGTTTATGTTGATGTTGAGATGCGCTGGTTTGGCTGAACCACGCTCCAGCTCCTGCCTCCCCTGTCACATCTCCCCCTTCAGATAGGACCTGTCCCGGTACCGAGCCGGTCCTCTGGAGTTCAAACGGTATTTTGATGTTCTTGTCTTCTGGGCTGGTTTCTGACGCGGCGGCAGCATCGAGCCTGTGAGGCGGCTTGACCATGATGACAGCAGCAGCCTCTTCCTCCTCACACCTGCGCTTGATTAAACCTCCCCCCCATGGATACTTTAATATGAACAATCCTGGGTTCTCCTCTACATGCAGGAGTCTGCAGGTGGATGGAGCTCACCTGGCCGGGATTCACTTTACCTGTTGATGGTGAAGCACGCCTCCATGTAACGGTGCGCTGCCTGATGGTTACCAGAGCCTGGATTAATTAATCTATGGAGCAGAGCTTCAGTTTACTACGGAAGAGGATTAGGGGCACTGGGAAAAAATTATTAGGGGGGCCACATGCCGAAGGCATTGCCCACCTACTACTATTGCACATATTTATTCCGCGTATTATTATTATAATTCTCCCGTATACCCAAAACTTCGGCGCGTAACTAGTCCCGCACGGTTTGGCGGATCGGGCCCAAAGTTGGCACACGCGTCGGGACCAATGGTGCGATGCGTGCTTGTATATAACTTTCTCATTAGTCCGAAGGTTTACGAATTATTAGCGAAAACGTCGCAAAAACGTCCCATAGGAAATGAATGGGGAGAGGGAAAAGAAAGCATAAAAAACAGCACTTCACTGTGTCGGCATACATTCACCTAGAAAAACAGTTTAAAGCTCAGTTTGTAGATAAATCCTTCGTCTATTTAAAACTAAAGACGGCATGTTGATAACTGCTACGGTTTTTGTATAATCAGACCTCAAGCGCCACAAAGTTTTAGCAAAATCCAGCCTTCTAGAGTGGAGAGACTGAAAAGCTAGAGTGTGAGGCAGCCGTTTTTTTAAGACCAAAAAACATTTTAAACTCGCCCTCACGGCCACATATTTATAGCTAGAGTCACCATTTTTGGTCAGTTTGTAGACTGAAATCTCTGGACCCACACAATGTCTTCGGAATTACGGTAGGATTAATACTTTTCCTTAAAAAGCCTCCAGACCGACCTAAAGTCGATCAAAATCAGAGCCGTTTTTCATTGGTTTTGGAGCAGCAGTGGGGAGAAAAACGAATGACATTATGTGTTTTCAACTCGTCATAAATATTTTTCTGAAAGACACACATACACCAAAGTTGGCATAGTTGGAGTCGAAGGATGGCTGACGCTCACGGTGAAAGAATTTTTTGAATAACTCATACGGTTTTTGCTCAGCAGTCGTTTGTTCGGAGGACATTTTAAGCACCAGAAAGCTGGGTGAGAGGGACCTGCTGCAGCTAGCCCAATTAAAAGATCAGGTGTGAGAAAACTTTTTTTCTTTTTCTTTCTCTTCCCATTCAGGTTGTAAATGACCTACAGCCATGAAAGTTACTCCAATTGAAGACAAGATATAGCTGTAGCTTAGATAAAAATAATTTTTCAGATACCTTTTACGGCTTTTACTCGGCAGTCGTTTGTTCGGAGGGGTGCTTTAGCAGCTTAAAGGTGAGTGAGAGTGTGATGCTGCAGTTAAAACAAAGGGAGGAGCAGGTGGGATTAGCCATTTTGTTTGTGCTTCGTTTTGGGTTGTGAAAGACCTACAGACATGAAAGTTACCCCAGTCTGAGACAAAGGATAGATGTTGCTTTCACTGAAAGAATTTCTCAAATACCTTTTACGGTTTTTTCTCAGCAGTCGTTTGTTTGGAGGGTAAGAACCTGGAAGCTAGCTGACAGTTAGCTTCTGCAGCAGCCTGCTGCAGTGAAGCAGGCTGTCGTTTTTTTTAAGATAAAACATTTTGTTCTTGCCTCACGGCCACATATTTGGAGCTAAAGTCACCATTTTTGGTCAGTTTGTAGGCTGAAACCTCTGGACCCACACAATGTCTTCGGAATTATGGTAGGATTAATACTTTTCCTTAAAAACCCTCCAGACCGACCTAAAGTCGATGAAAATCAGAGCATTTTTCCATTGGTTTTGGAGCAGAAGAGGGGAGAAAAACGAATGACATTATGTGTTTTAAACTCGTCATAAATATTGTTCTGAATGACACACATACACCAAAGTTGGCGTAGTTGGAGTCGAAGGATTGCTGATGCTCACGGTGAAGAAAGTTTTTGAATAACTCATACGGTTTTTGCTAAGCAGTCGTTTGTTCGGAGCTGTTCCTCCCATTCAAAAAAGCCTGAGAGCGAAGGAACGATAGTGCTGCGCATTTTCTCTCTGTCACAGACAGGCTCGTTAAGCGTTGTCAAGGTAACCGTGCTTCAAAGAGATTTTACCTCTGCTGTTTTAAACAGCACATATTAATCTAATGGAGGGTGAAAGCACTGATTTAACATTGGGAAATGGATACTATATGACTGCTGTCCATGACACTTCCCTTGCCACTCAACACTGATAGACTTTCAAAATAGACTCCAGGGACCCTACAAAATAAAAGCCTCTATATTTTTTACATATATTTATTGCCCTATATGGCTCAACATTATGACCCAAACTCAACCCCATTTTAGAGAATAGACTCTAGGAGACTGTTTAAAACACACCCTATGGCAAATTTCAAAATAAAAGCCTCCCATTTCCGCTTCATCTACTGCCCTAATAACATGGAAAAAGAGTGATTTAACGATTGGAAAGTCATCAACTATGATTGCTGGGTCTGAACATTTTCTCTAAACACAACTCTGTTGGACTTTCAAAATAAGACTCCAGGGACCCTACAAAATAAAAGCCTCTAGATTATACTAATGCAATAATTGATGCAAATGGCTCAACATTATGACCCAAACTCTTCCAGGTTGTTTTTATTAGACTCTAGTGACCTTTTCAAAACACACCCCAGAGCAAATTTCACAATAAAAGTCTCCCATTTACTCTGTAATACAGCAGCTATTCACCTAATAACATGGAAAACCAGGTTTTAACTTGGAAAGGGTTTTCAACCGCGGGCAGACCCTTTTTTTTAAGCAATCCAAACTTTTCAAAAAAAACACAGGGACCTAACAGAAAAAACCCCCAACCACCAAATTTTCCAAATTTTTCCATGCCGAATTTAAAACACGCAAGGCCGCCAGCGGCGGGCCCGCCATTTGATTTAAAACATGCAATGGCTCAAAAAGGGCGGGCGAACCCGCCAATGGGTTTTAAAACACCCCCGGTCTTGCGGCGGGCGGCCCCCATTTGGTGATTTTTTTTCCGCTGCAAGGGCTCCTAGCGGGCGGGCGGAGCCCCCAAAACGCCTTTACCCACGTGGTTCAATATGGCAACCCAATTCCCGGGGGGTTTTATCTTTTTAGGTGCACGCAATTTCCCAGATTTCAGCACAATGGCACACAGCCTCTTTGCCCATGACCTACCCTCTTTCCTTCCCTCAGCACCCCCAAAAAGGCTAACAGTTGGTCTGGTTCCGCGTATTATTATACAAGCTTATAGTTCTCCTGCCAGGAAACTTCGGCGCTAACTAGTCCCGAGGTTGTCGGAATGGGGCCCAAATTTGGCACACCCCCCGGCCCAAAAGGGGTAGGGCTTTAAAAAACCCCTCTTTAGTCCAAAGGGTTTTGCGAATTATTAGCGAAAACGTCGCAAAAAAAATCCCATAGGAAATGAATGGGGAGAGGTAAAAAAAAGCATAAAAAACAGCGCTTCACTGTGTCGGCATACATTCACGTAGAAAAACAGTTTAAAGCTCAGTTTGTAGATAAATCCTTCGTCTGCATAAAACTGAAGACGGTATGTTGATAACTGCTACGGTTTTTGTATAATCAGACTTCAAGCGCCACAAAGTTTTAGCAAAATCCAGCCTGCTAGAGTGGAGCAACTGAAAAACTAGAGTGTGAGGCAGCTGTTTTTTTAAGACCAAAAAACATTTTAAAATCGCCCTCACGGCCACATATTTATAGCTAGAGTCACCATTTTTGGTCAGTTTGTAGACTGAAATCTCTGGACCCACACAATGTCTTCGGAATTACGGTAGGATTAATACTTTTCCTTAAAAACCCTCCAGACCGACCTAAAGTCGATGAAAATCAGAGCCGTTTTTCATTGGTTTTGGAGCAGAAGAGGGGAGAAAAACGAATGACATTATGTGTTTTAAACTCCTCATAAATATTGTTCTGAATAACACACATACACCAAAGTTGGCATAGTTGGAGTCGTAGGATGGCTGACGCTCACGGTGAAAATTTTTTTTGAATAACTCATACGGTTTTTGCTCAGCAGTCGTTTGTTCGGAGGACATTTTAAGCACCAGAAAGCTAGGTGAGTGACCTGCTGCAGCTAGCTCAATTAGAAGCTCTGGTGTGATGAAACGTTTTTTCTTTTTCTTTCTCTTCCCATTCAGGTTGTAGATGACCTACAGCCATGAAAGTTACTCCAATTGAAGACAAGATATAGCTGTCGCTTAGATAAAAATAATTTTTCAGATACCTTTTACGGTTTTTACTCAGCAGTCGTTTGTTCAGAGGGGTGCTTTAGCAGCTTAAAGGTGAGTGACAGTGTGATGCTGCAGTTAAAACAAAGGGAGGAGCAGGTGGGGTCAGCCATTTTGTTTGTGCTTCGTTTTGGGTTGTGAAAGACCTACAAACATGAAAGTTACCCCAGTCTGAGACAAAGGATAGATGTTGCTTTCACTGAAAGAATTTTTCAAATACCTTTTACGGTTTTTGCTCAGCAGTCGTTTGTTTGGAGGCTAAGCACCTGGAAG